ACACCTCTTTTTATGTTAATTATTCTTTTTACGTTATGAGTTACAATGCGAATATTTACTTGTTATAAAAGACGTATATAGTGATAAAAATGTTTAATTCAAATAAACTGTAATAAATACAGATTAGTGCGTGGTTTTGCAAAATGCCGTCTTTCTGAACTGACCTTATCCAAATTTTTATACAAATGCCTATTGCAAAATATGTAATACATTACTGTTTCTGTCAATATACTCAAAACTACTATCAGTTACAATAATTACATATTACTTCACTTTGTCTACTGTATTTTTCTTATTTAAAGTTTTTGACTTCTATTATCACCTGAAAATGAATTACTTTCATATGCATGTTAATCTAATATTTGGAAAAAGCTCCCGATCTCCTGCTTTAAAAAAATCGAGATAAAAGATTCAAATTATTTTACTACACACGGGAAATGCTGATTTACTAATTTACTGCAAAATTCTTATTCCACCATTTTTATTTACTTTTGTATTTTATTAAATATCTTATATTTGAGACATGATGAAGTAAAACAGATGATTGACAAGTGTTTGATACTAAATTGTAAATAATACTTCACCAAATAAAAGAAAGTAAATCGGGAAACATCTCATTTTAGAACACATCGTATACACTATACCTTTTCTTGTTTATTTTCTTATAAAAATTTTTAAATTTTCATCCGAGATTTGACATATATGTTAGGTTATCTGTAAATATAAATACACAATAGATTATATTACTCCCATAGAGATAAACTATTATAGCTTACGAGTCATCAGTAGTGTCGGATATTTGTGTTGGTGTTTCGTTGCGTCACAGAGAATAAGCCCTGGAACAATGGTTTTATAAGCTACCCTAAGTAAGGAAATAAGACGTAATAGAATTGTTCCTAATTTCAGTAATTATTTATTTATTCCCAAGTTTTAACACTAGGTAATTGAGGAATTGAAATGAAACATAAAAAAGAATTACAGTACTTAATTCTATTATTTTATAAGTACGGAAGAAATGATCCTATCAATCGGCGTTGCCAGATTTTTTTTTCGGGCAAAGCGGGATCTTGAAACTTTTTGAATAAAAAAGCGGGATTCTTTCGTCCAAAATCGGGACGTACTACGGGTTTCCAAAATCGGGACGTCTGGCAACGCTGCTATCAATCCACTGTGCTAAAGAAATAAAGGGTAAGACTTAATTATGGCAAGAGGTACAGGCTTTTGAAAATGTTACTAATTATACAAGTATATTTAAACTGAGTGTTATTATACCTGATACTAACAGATACACATTTGATTTTCTTAATTCTGTAAAGGTTATAAAGAAAAATGTATTTATAAAAATGTAGGTTTACAACTTATAACTGATGTGATATGATCATTATAATATGAAGTGATATAATAACATTTTTCAGTGTCTGGTTATTCCCCTTTTATTACCGTCGTAGATGTTTATTTATAACCATTACATACATAGTTTTTGAGAGAGATTTCTATTATTTGTATATTATCGCACTTCACTACCTATATTATTTACGATATAAAAGGAATTTAGCATACTGTGTATAAAAATTATCAAGTAGATTTATTAATTCTCCGCAATCAACAAAATTACAGATTACAATAAATAACTTATGTATCTGCTAAATCCTTAACAAATGAAAATCGTTTTAAACTTACATGCATATATTGACAGGGAATTCTTGTAGATGGAGTCTAAGCTGACTTTCTTGACGTTGACATTACCATTTCTCTAAATCACATGACCTGGGATCCTAGATTCTTAGATTTGAAAATAAAATGCATACCTCAAAAGTATAAACAAGCGCCGCAAGTCACGTGACCCATGACCCGTGGCTACCTATTAGTAGCTGTTCTCATCTCACTTTACATAGGTCCTTATCTTTCTGTCATCCATCGAGACCCTATACCTAATCTATGCTTACACTGAATGAACTTTAATGAAGTAAGACAAAGTGTTATATCATGTATAACAAAAAAGGATACATGATAAAAAATATACCGGGTGGCTCAAAATGAGTGGCCTATTAGATTATTTCAGAACCTACTTCGTTTTAAATTTTGAAAATTGGCATACTCTTGTGTACTCTTTTCAAATCTAATAATTTTGTTCCTGTGACACTTATACCGGAGGTTGACGTCAACTTTGTTATTTTAAATGGAACACCCTATATATTTTACATTTTTGAATTATACGCTTCATTTTAAGGTGACTCATCAAGTTTCCCTATTCCTAAAACTATCCATTTTCGATATATTTAGCTTTTTCGAAAAAAAAAATTAAATCAGAACCTACTTAAAAGGCATGCACATTTTACTGTTTGACAGCAACAATATTTGCACCTAAGCTGCATAACCATATCTACAGAGTCGTGTTACCGAGTTTGGTCGACTGGAAACCATCAAAACTTCATTTTTTGTAATGTACCTATATTTTTTCAAATTTTCACAGCCACCCGCGTAGTTAAGTACGATTACGTACTTAATAATAATATCGTAGAGTACCCAAATAACTTCAAATAACATAAAAACTAGAATAGAGAGGTATAGTGAACCATAGTATGGATGGATAGAGAATAAAAGGGCACATTCAAATTTGAAAAAATATACGGGGTGATTCATTACAAAAGTTTAGATGGTTTCCAGTAGACCAAACTCGGTATAGATTCGGTAACTCTGAAGATATAGTTATGCAACTTAGGTATGTAGTTCCTGCAAATATTGTTGCTTTATCTGTCAAACGGTAGAATGCGCACGGCTTCAAAGTAGGTTCTGATTTTTATTTTTTTTCCTGAAAAGTTGAATATCTCGAAAACGGATAATTTTAGGAATAGGGAAACTTGATAAAAGTCACCTTAAAATAAAGCGTATAATCCAAAAATGTTAAAATATACAGGTTGTTCCATTTAAAATAACAAACTTGACGTCAACTTCTGGTGTAACCGGAAGTGTAACAGGAACAAAATTATTAGATTTGAAAAGAGCGCACCCAAAAACCCTAGTGTGCCAATTTGCAAAATTTAAAGTAGGTTCTGAATTAATATAATAGGCCACTCTCTTTGAGCCACCCGGTATATTTCAAGAATACATTTTTCTGAGTTCAGGTATTTCTAAATTGAACATGCATATAAAATTATAATGTAATAAGATAAATATATGTTTTTCATTCATAACATTTTATCGACAAAAGAAAAATCAGTGATAATCCCGGATAATCTCTTGCCCGAGCAATTACAAATAATTTTGGAACAATGGGCGCTTATGTAAAAATAAAAATGCACAGAATGCAATGAGTATACAATGTGCTCCAGTTTGATTGAATCCACTATAACTTGAATCACAGATAGTATTTAAAAATACATTTAGTTTTCTTATTAAACCATGGATATATCTGGTATTGTTTTCCGTATACAATGCCGTACTATGGTTTAAACCAAATTTGGTATGATTTCATTGTATATACGTAGTAATTGAATAATTTAATTCTACTAATAATACGGCGTCATTGATATGGAGGAAGAACTGATCATATTTTACTTCCATTTTACACCACTTGTTCGACTGTTCTCTAATTTTAGTTTCCCTATCTGAAGTCTAAATATTGGACAATACCGGTCGTTTTTTGAGATCTGGCGCGAAATTGATAAAAAATAACCAATACATATTGCATCGTTTTATTAAGTTTATAACAATGGCACCTGCCCTTACCGATATTGATATTAAAGTCTAATCAGTGGCGGCTCATCAGGTGACGCAAGTGACGCACCGCTTCACCTAAAATTTCCGTTTGGTTGTGCAATTTAAAATTATTTTTAATTTTATATAAATTTTATAATTTAGGGGTAATTCTATATTGGAAATGTAATGTTTTGGTTTATGGTCATTCTGTGTTCTGTGTTTGATTTCTCCCACTACGCATAACCTCTATAACCATGTGGTCATGACATAGGCTCTGGTATTTAATTGTTTTAATAATGTGTAGTTTTATCAATTGTCAAATTTTAACAGAATTTTAATGTGTAACTTTTAAAAATTTTTTTTCTCAAGACATGGATCATTGTTTCGTCGCGTCATCAGTTTTATAATATAATCTCAACATTTGTAAGTATAGTTTTTTGTTAAGGCTTTTAAAGTTTTTTCATAATATTGTAACCGTTATAGAGTTCCTGAGGAAGAGGCACGTCTATTAAGCCAGGTCATCCATTTGATAAGTCGGTATTCTTCATACCACCATATTTTATTGCTAATTTATTACACAAAAAAAATTTTATTGCTCCATCTCTTCCCTAGAAAAAAGTGGATAATCTGACTTAATACTTAAGTCAGGTCACCCACACCTATATCTCCAAAACCAATGAAGATACAGGCATTTACCCGGTGCCATATTTTATTGCTAATTTATTACACCAAAAAAAATTTTATTGCTCCACCCCTTCTCTAGAAAAAAGTGGATAATCTGACTTAATACTTAAGTCAGGTCACCCACACTTTTACCCTCGGATTTACCATTCTCAATCAATCACAGTTTCATACCCTATAAGTGACAAAAACAGTAAATGTTTGTGAATCGATTCTCTAAATTATATACAAATCTGACTGCTTCCATGTAATAATTTTTAACATTCACCTTTATCAGCTTCATCAGTTTAGCTTGATAAAATTGTTTTTAACTTATATTAGTATGATTGTCTTACGATTTCAGGGAAATTTAAGCAGGTAATACGTCAACAAGAAGTAGATAAAAGTGATAACACAATTGTGTACAATTTAAAAAACATTCTAATAGATATATTAATTTAGAGAAGTACTTAGTTATAAGATAAGAGTATGTTTAAGTAGATGAAATGAAACATTGGATTAATTGAGACTTTAGTTGGGTAATAAAGATATTTATCTATGATACTTACATGCAAATATGTATACTAAAAGTAATTTCAAAAGTTGATATTCAATTGTAACAATTACAATTTTTGTTCCAGAATAAAATATGAAACTCGTACCAGGTCCCTTACCACCAATACCCACAAGTACTAGTATGGATAGGCTGCCTCTACCATTGCCATTCAGTCCAGATTTACTCTGGAGGTATCCCTTAGGGTTTCCATCCATGAGTCACCAGAATGCTCCTTCATCGCCTCTACTAGATTATAAAAGTCAATTACCATCTTCGCTACCCTCAGACCCGAGAGTGTGGAATCGAGAAGATGTCACTACTTTTCTGCAATGGGCAGAGAGAGAATTTGATATACAACCAATTGACCATGATATGTTCCAAATGAACGGCAAAGCTATGTGTCTTTTAACCAGGACTGATTTATCAGAAAGGGCACCTGGATCCGGGGATGTTTTACACAACGTTTTACAAATCTTAGTTCGTGAGGCAAATAATTTGCAAAGAATGCTGCCGAGTAGTCCCGTAACACCAACTTCAAGACACCCATATCCCTTGTCACCTCACTCCCATCCACCAACTCCCAATTGGAATATTCTGTCACAAAATACAGAATCATTCCATTCCACACATGCAGCCTCTCTGGCAGCACATCTTATGACACAAAGTAATTCCGTTACTTTGAGTCCCGCACCTTCAGTTGACAGTCAAGCAGGTAGCCCGCAACATGCTGACAGTCAAAGTTTTACTCACTCCATCTTTAGTATGAATGGTAGTAATGGAAGTGGCTCCAATCCCTCCGATTCGGATGAAGATGGGGTGGACAAGAAAGGATATAGTGGCAGTCCTCCCAACACACCCAGTGCCTATTCTCTCATGCCTCAAGTGCCATATATGCCTCCAAGGAGCCCTAAAGAAGCTGCTTCAAGCCCTGGAGCTTTTAAAGGTTCGGGTCGAGAATTCTTTCCCAGTGAATCTTCTGAACCTAATACAAGTGAGTTCAATGACATTTCCAAAAACCTATAGAAACAATCAAATTCATTCATATAAGTATGTTCTAGCTAATCAAAGCATTATAGATGGAGAGCTAACTACATAAAAATTGAATCTGCAAGTGGTAGTGGTGATATCAGTTTTGCTCTCTTTATCGCAGTTGACGTTATCTTTCACTTTTCAGTCTACTTTTTTGCATATTATTTTTCAAAGGTATAAGCAATAACCACTACTAATTCTTAATCCATGAATCTTATAATTATTTTCACTGAAAAATAATTTTCACCGCTTTCGATGTGGTCTGCTGACACTATCTCTTCCAGGAAACAGTCTGCCAATTTTATTACATTTTTATTCCATTAAACATTAAATATTCCTACAACTTTTATGCTTGAAACTTATTCTTTTTTTTTGTCAAGTTTACTGCCTTAATCTTCCTGACTGCTCAGGTAGACTGGTGATTTAGTGTTCAGCTATACTAAAGGAACTTTTTCAGGCTAGTTTATAATAAAAATAATCTACCTGCATTATTACTGCGAGAAATAATTTGAAGTGTTTATTTTGTTGAATTGCAACAAATTTTTATTGACTTGATGTCTATCATCAATTTGCATGAAATACTATAACATAAATGTAAAGGGTGTCCCAAAAGAGGGAGGATGAGGAAAAAAGGTATTATTAATTAAAAAGTTGACAAAGTTTTTACATGTTTTTAAAGCCATTGCCACTAAATATGAAAGAAGATATCGGACAGATGTCCTACGCGACTTTTAAGAAAATTCTGTGTCACGCTTTCACATATCATCGGCTGAATTTCATTGGTAAATCTCCGAATTTCTGCCTTCAATTAAGGAATGGTATTTATTTGAGCAAAATAAACTTTGGACTTTACGAATCCCCACAGGGAAAAGATTTTTGTGTCCAAGTCACTTCACTGTTACATGAGTTGAGTTGTCCATTAAATTTCTGCCGTAACAAGTGGATAGTCTCATGTGCGTTTGGTAGGTGGCACCATCCTGCTGGAACCACATGTAATCCAAATGAGGCCACAAAAAGTTTAGTAGCATCTCTCGATATGTTTCTCCATGAACAGTCACTGCGTTACTAGCCGCATTTTTAAAAAAGAACTGACTAATCACCCCAGCAGCATAAAATCCACACCACACTGTCACTCTTTATGTATAGATTGATTGTTCTTGATTGACCCGAGGTTTATCTCTTCCCCAAACTCGACAGTTTTGCTTGTTCATATACCCCACCCATAAGATGGAAATGTGCCTGGTGGCTAAAGATGATTTTCTTAGCAAAATCACCATCCACTTGTTGATTCTGTAACATTCAATCAACAAATATCTGGTGCATTAAATGGTCGTCTGGATTTCAATTCCTGGATTAGCCGAATCTTGATTGGATACAGATGCAGTTCTTTTGTTAAAATTCGCTGCTTTTTGAAATGTTTAATTGCAGTTTCCGATAGCGCACTGAGATTAAAAGAATTTTCGGCGCACTATCGTCCACCTTAGCAATATTTTCGGCTAGTACGAGGCCGGCCTATTTTTTTATAGTCTGCAACAGAACCTGTTTGTTTAAATTTGACAACTAATCTTTTCACAGTTGTTTCATTTTTCATTATCGGGATGTTGCTTCTACTAAAAATTTCACGTAATTTGCGCACAGTCTCAGCTACCCACTCTCTGAATTCGTAATAAATTTTCACAATCATCACACACTCATTCATCAATAGAGCGCTTCTTGTATCTAATGGCGACATGTGACCCTGCACAATGTAGCCAACTCTTCCGAGTGAAAATGGCACACAATTCAAATCCTACGTTGCTTTTGGGACACCCTATATTTTTCATGTTCAAAATTTAACACAGCTTAATTTTGATACTTTATTTGATTTAAATTCAGTTAAGTAATCTTAATAGACTCGTTTAGTGTGACGTCACATATTTAGGCAACCCGCAACAAATTGTCATAGTTAAAATTGCACAGACCAAATCTGACCCTTGTATACTGTTCACCATCAAATTAATTTATTTTTACAAGGATTTAGAAGTATTTAAGAACAAACAACACGTGTTTGGTAAAATAGATACACTAATGTTAAAACTTACAAAAAAACGATATAACAGAATATTCTTAAATTTAAAGAATATAAAAATTCAATATTAACAGTGTTATTCCTAATGCTCATGCTTGAAAAGAATAGCCTCATATGTAGGTGAGATCTTGTTGATATGTTATCGCTGTCATCATTAGCGTATTTTCTCTTGTTTTTTTCTTCAAGTGGTTTATTATAGACATACTTTTAACCACAACCAAACTTTTCTTGAATGATATCCTGTTGCGAGGCTACTTCGCTTACATGAAATTATCTTTAATGCACTTGCTCAGTTACATTCATATAATTTTAATTTATTAAATACTATAAAAGTAAATATTGTTCTATAAATTTAAATATATAGACTCTATAATTCTATTAGTCTGTCACTTGGGGTTTGAAACTTCTTAAATATTTCTAATATTGCCAGAATATCGCGTTATGCAAAGTCGTCAAAAAGAAGCCATTTTTTGGCACTTATGTCCAAAGTACATAAGGTCGAAAATCGATCTAGTAAAAATATTGAGAAATTCTTCATGACAATGTGTACTATGGGGCTGCCTATTATTTGGTGTATGTGATGTCACTACTAAAAAGGTCTATTAATTCAAATAATGCAGTACTGAAAAAGTGTTTCTGATTGTAGTGTCTAAAAATACTCTGTCGAAACTTTAAAAAAATACTTAACATATTTTTTCACTGAATTCTTATTGTTTTTAATTTCATTTGTAGATGGCAGGCTTTTATGGGATTTCCTTCAACAGCTATTAAATGATCCTGGTCAAAGATACACAAGTTATATTGCTTGGAAAAATCGTGACACTGGTGTTTTTAAAATAGTTGACCCAGCAGGGCTCGCAAAATTATGGGGAATTCAAAAGAATCACCTTTCTATGAACTATGATAAAATGTCTCGTGCATTGAGATACTACTACAGAGTGAATATCTTAAGGAAAGTCCAGGGAGAGCGACATTGTTATCAGTAAGTTTGTTGGTAGATCCTTGGCTCCATTTATATCGTAACTCTTTTTTGCAGATTTTTGAGGAATCCTACTGAATTAAAAAATATTAAAAATATTTCTCTTCTACGGCAGCAAATGTCTCCAACAAACACAAAACATCCACCAAATTCTGTTATTCCTCAGATAACTATAAAGCCAGAGCCAGCTGAAATTTCAGACCATGAAGTTTCTTCTGCCAGATCAGCTGTGGAATACGACGACAAACCCACAGATTTAAGTATGGATGGGCCCAGAGACCTAAGTAGTAATACAAGACATATCAATATTGTTTGTTCTCCAGATCCCCCTATCACAGGACCTCACCACTAGCATTTAAGTGATGTCTCTATCACTTCAACTGTGCATTATTTAGCATGTTTTTTTCTTTTTTGGTGCCAATATAAAGACTATAGGACTTTGTGCAAAATAGAAATTAAATATTTGTATATATAAATTTACATTTCTAAGATGTAGAAACAGTGCAATTTGTATTGTTTTAAAACTATTGTATGTGCCAAAAATTAACTTATTTTCCATTGGACACATTTTTTTAAAATACAACATAGGCATATGAATTTATCTTTTTAAGTTAATTGACTGAAAAAAAATATATATGAAATAGTTGTATCGTGTGCTACTTTTCTGAAAAGATTGAGAAATGTTCGTAAAATGTATTAATATATTGAAAAGCCTGATTAACATGGCTTTACTGGTGGTACCAGAAGTGGCAGCTTTAATTTTTTCCCCTTGGAAAAATATCACGTGTGTGATAAATCGATGACAATATTATCCAGGAAAAGTGTACAGTAATAAAAATTCAACAAAGTTTAAAAATTTAACAAAACCACATTCCAATATTTGTGACGTTTGCCTTACTGAATGAATCATTTGTGAAAATAATGGCTGATATCCAGCTCTATTTCTGTGATCTCTAAATAAGAAATTGACTCATTTTGTGTGATTTTAATGTACATTTACAATACTGTGCATTATATATACATTAAAAAGTTGTACATATAATTTGTATAAAGTATGATAATTAGATATTTGATTTAAAAAATGTGGCTTCATAGAATTTTATCGAATTTTGTCATGTTGGTATGTTGTTCCATTAAATTTAGTTATTTGTAAATATATATCAATTGTTAACAAACTATTTCAAATATAAATATTAAAAATGAGTATTTTTTATTTGTAAATATTCTACGTGATGATCCAGATTTTTATTATACTCCGCAGTAGAAATTATAGAGAGTGACTCATTGCTAGCTTTTGGACTAGTAAGGCGGAAGAAACGGGCAGGGAACGAAAATCCATTGGTGTATCTGCGTAAAAGGCAACAAGATATAGAAAATATGGAAAAAAGATAATAAAACATAACATCTAATATTTTTTATGGATTGCTACAACCGACACTGATCCATTTTAATTATTACGTTTTAAAATGTCCCGGTTATGTTTTTTAATTTATAAATTTATTCTAGCCGCAGAATTAGACCCCTCGCCTACGCTTATGCTAAGGGTTTCTAAGGACAGCTAAATCAAGTCAGTTTACACCCACTAAAAAAGCATTTCTCTATTCTCTACCAAGTGCAAAAGACAGAGATAGAATATAGATCGATGTTCAGTGTAACTCAGTCTATAGACGATTATAGATTCTATCGATGTGCGTAGAGAGTACATCATTTAATACGAGACAAATAATATTGAACCATTATAAAAATTATTTTATATTTATATTTTATAAGTGTAATATTTTGTCCGAGTCACTCTCTATAATTTCGACCTCGAGATATAGATAGTTTCATTAATATACAGGATGTTCTGCAAATTGTGCTGTGCTCGTGCCCGAGTCCCATTGGACCAGATTTGTTTTGGTACTCGGCAGTGGCAGTTTTACCATGAGCTGCGGAGCTGCAGAACACATAAAATTTTATGTATTTAATCATATTAAATATCCACAAAATATTTAAAGAATTCAAATGTACTCGCGCTAAAATAAATCTGGGAGCTTATATTATTATTTATTACGACGCGAGCTACGCCCCTTAATATATGCAACCTCATATACAAAATGTGTTCATAGCGAACAGGTAGATGCGTCCTTTGTTTTTATTGGCTAATCAGGCACGTAACCCAGTACATGCATATATGAAGTTTTGTGGCTGTAACGACAGCCACAGCTGCAGTAAATTAAATGCAGTACATAGAAAATTTAACTGAGAATGCAGTAATATTTCGTTTGTGGTATGTGGTGGTTTATTTCTGCGAGCGGCACGGGTGAATGTTTTCGTTTAGGCGTCTACGGATATTATAGTTATTAAAATGAATAGCGTTTCGTTTTAAAAAAAAAAACTATTTGTTTCTCTGTCTTCAGAGGATAAACTAAAAATAAAAAATTAGGTGGGCCAACACCACAATTAAATATTGAAGTTAGTGGAACAAGCTGAAGTAAAAGTTATTAAAGACAATTTAACAATAATGTATACACAAAAGCAGAGTGGGTATGCGGGTGTGATATCAAAAATACACTGTTTTGTTTTCCGTGCTTACTTTTCGATGGGGATAAAGCATGGACAATACACAGTGTGAAAGATTTAAGTCATTAGGTAAAATAAACATAAGAAGTCGGTTAGATTCTGGCTATTGGGATAATATACGGAAACACAATGAACAGGTAACGAAAAATCGTTATGTATTATCTAAAATCATAGATTGCAAAAAAATTTGCGGAGCTTTCGAATTAGCACTTCGCGGACATGAGACAGAAAATTCGGACAACCCTGATGTGTTTCGTGGACTCATAAATTTTAGTGCAGATCTTGACATATTAAAAGAACATCTAGCCACATGGGTATGACCGGGATTTTCTGTGATTGTGCCGGGAATTAGCTGTATGGTCCCGGATTTCGGATTTGCACGTATAATCTCCCGGAATATAATATATGTACATATATATAAAAAAAAAATAAAGAAAAAATCTTAACACGGAGAGGAAAATGTGGTAAACTTCACAAACGATTTTTTTGTTTATAAACAATATTCAATAATTTAATAAAATATANAGGAAAATTAAAATTCGTTGAATCGTTGGTAAAGTTCACAAACGATTTTTTTGTTTATAAACAATATTCAATAATTTAATAAAATATATATATGTACTTAGTTTATTCCAATTTATTTATATCGTCAGTAGGTAATTCCATGAATAGATATTTCAAAAAGGTATCAATTTCAAAAATCGTTCTTGTGAAAATCTGTATTTTTGTATAATTGGATTGTTCCTTGAAATTCAGAAGTGCCAGGAAAACGCGTGACCTTGAAAATTTTAAAATTTTTCGCAGGACGCATTTGTTTTGATGGCACATTTTCACAGATGGTTCTTCGTCTTATTGTTTGCCTCCTGTATGGAACAATTTGTTGAAGCCTTTCCTGGTGCTAATATCATACGACGGGTTTCAAATCCGCAAATTGATCCTTATTAAAAGGTTGAGGAAACACATTGCATTTGCAAGAGCAAGGTGACAGGTAGACCTACTGTTTTAAGAAAATGTTGAAGATATTCGATAACAAATGGTGCGAAGTCTTAAGAAACCTGTTTTGCAGTTATCTATAATACAAACGGGTACTGCCACAAACTTAATATAGTTTGAATTATGTTAATTTGTAAATTTTTTAACTTAAAGCTAAAATTAAAAAATAATTGATAATTTTCAAAATTTTTTAATATTACTATTTAGAATGTATTTTCAATTATCATGATATTGTCGATGGTTTAATGAACATTTAAACGATGATAACACAGACACACAAAGAAAAGTCCAAACTCAAGAGACCCACATATCATTTCCGAAGGAATTCGATGCACTGTACTGTAGTCAAAATTCATGACTTGCCGATCAATTTTGAAGAAAAGAGAAATTTTTGTGCAGAAGATACGTATCTGGATAGCAGTTTCAAGAAAATGGATAAATTTTTTCCCAGAAGTAATAAATGGAGAATGATTAGTACCATAACATTTTACAACAAACCCTAGAATTAATGCATGATGAACATTTGTTAGAAATTTTATAGTGATAGATTGATTACTAGGGGTTTGTGACCTGCTCGAAGCCCTGATTTCACATCTTCAGATAATTTTTATCTGTTTGGCCATATCAAAAATTAGATATACAGTGATTCACAACTTATCCAAAAAAATTTGTTAATAAATATGTGGCATGAAAAATGGAGTCAATATCGTAAAAAAAAATTTGTAAAATTCTTACAATTAACAAGAAAAAAATTATTGAAGTTGTAGTACTTTCCACCCTTACATGGTTGGACAACAGTAGTCTGTAGAGTCATTCGCGTTGTGTGCTTTACGCAATGCGCATGGAGAGCCATGTGGCCCCAACGACTACGAATACTCAAATCCTATTTTACAATTAGTATTAACGTCATTGCGATAGTATTTACCATAGTTTTTTAATAGTTAGTGTCAAAAATGGCTTATGTGTCTAGCAACTCGGAGTTGATGGATATCGTTTTAGTTTATGGTGAAGCAAGACAACATTTGTGACAGTTTGTAGGAACTGTAAGACGGGTCCCAATGTGTTTACACATCGGTAAACAAAAATTTGAACAATTGTAATATATCAGGTATGTCAAAATATTTTATTAAGTAAAACCACAAATTTATTTCATTAATTATTAACAATAGCGTCAAAATTTACTGATATTAAATAGGTGTTTTAAAATTCTATTTATTTCTTTCCTTGCAAAATTCTTTCAAGTTTTTGTCAGTTTTTTATTAGACTTCGCCTAGTGTCGCAGGTTTTACAGTGGACCAGTTTCCAGTGCTATGCAGAAGTGTATTTTTTAATCATTTTCAAATTGCTCTTTGAACGCGCTTTTGAATACATGAAATACAAAGTAAATTTGTGTTTGGAAAACGAAGGTGGTCATTTTGTACATCAATTATAAATTTGATCAATATAATAATTATTTGTTAGCTGGGTAAAAAATTAATAATTTAATTAATTTACCTATAATTTATATACAGGGTGTCCCGAATAACGCGTACAACGGAGGACCACAGTTTCGTGGACTCAAAATAGGCAGATTTAGGCTAATTCACCTATATCCGAAATCGCTTTATTTGGCCGCTAGATGGCCTCAAAGTTCGGGAAAATTTTTTGAATTTTGTATATAACTCGAATACATACTAATCGATTTTGATTATTTTTGGGGTTTGGACTTTTACTTTTAATCTACAAATGTTGGTGTTATACAGAGTATTTTTTTAAACCTGCAACTCCCACAAAATTCATGTATGGTGATAATATCCGTTCATAACTTTTTCCTGTTTTGGGCAATAATGACAACTATATTTTATCTGATAGGTGATACGATTTAGACGTTTTTGGGCCTCTTGTAGAATTTTGATTAAATGAACGGTTTGGGTACAAAAAAATATGTTTTAAATATTTACATTATCGTGCCACCTATATTATAATAGTTAACAAAGTGTTAGTAGGCACTGATTTTGTAGATAGACTATAATTTCAGTCTGATCTTTAACTCATTGTATCTGACAATTCTTAGTGAGTGTTTACGACGATGAGATATACCACCTGTTACTTCATTTTTCGATATGGATACACACACATATGACGAATTAGAATTATTTACGTATCTAATTTTATTCAAAAAATTAGAAAAAACAATCAAATACGCTCATTAATAGCATTATTGTTGACCCTGTTATTCTACCCAATAGACTGAATGGCAAATTTTTACCTTTACCTTACCTTTACCTGTTATTGCTC